CACAAAGAAATTGGATTAAATTAAAGATCGGCAACTAAGATCATCAACTAATCAAATCAAGAAATAACTCAATTTCAATATCAAAGAATAAGCAATAATTATCTTGATTTCTAATTTCACCCCACTTAAAATCATATTGCCTCAATATGAACAATAATTAAATTACAAAAGAGAGAGGGTGAAAATACTCCTCGATCAATGTTGGTCTCGACCGTGGCCATGTTTTGAAGGGCCACGTTTTGGTATGAAAGAGGGTGAAAATACTCCTCGATCAATGTTGGTCTCGACCGTGGCCATGTTTTGAAGGGCCCAGGCTAAGGTATGAAAGAATCTCGGCAATGTTGGTCTCGATGGAGTCTAGCAGCCTATGCACCTCATGGATTTCGCTATGTACATCCGAGGGTGGATGCTCTTCTGATGCCGCGGGTTGTGTAGTCCTCTGAAGAAATACACGCTCATTGCGCGAGGTAACTATGCTGGAAGGGACAATGTGTGGTGTATTGGGAGTTTCAGCGACGAGTCTCATCGAGTCCAAACACCTAGCATCTAAAGGGTCCATTGAAAAAACATAAGTAAATTGATTAAAACCAAATGTTAACGAAAATAAATGAAATGCAAGGCGAGTAATGTAAGGTTCAAGAATTAGTGGGCAATTGGAACACAGAACAAGCTCAAAGGCGCGCACGAACCAAAAACCCAAATTTACCTTCACAACGGTTTACATACACCATAGGAAAAATAGTTCAACCTTACTTAACGAGGACGTAGTTTCGTTACATCTGAAATAATTATATGCAAAGAACCAGTGTATGCAACGAAGAGCAGGATTGTGAATATGCCATCCTTTGGTGTTGCGCGCATTGTATGTAGCACTGGGTGAACCGATAAGTCCTTCGAATGCTACATCCGTGTTGAAGTCCCGCGAAATCTCAAGTAAAGCGGTTAAAAAATCATGGTCTTTGACATTCATCATGACCATATAAAACTCAAAAACCAATTCGTAATAGGTAGCATATCGAATTTCAGAATAAGAACGCCAACCAATTGCATCAAAATAGTTCATGACAGAATCACGCAAATACAAGGAATCAAGGGTGTGATCAGGAATATATTTACAAACTTGGAACTTACGGTGCCGGATGCTGTCGAATCGCCAAGCCACTTCATCGTCAAAGTCTAGGTAACCTTGAAGTACTTTCTCAGCGAGTACAGAAAAGGTGTGCCCTCTCCAATGACACTCGCGATAATGACTATGATCAGGTGCATGTCCATCGTGAGGTGGTGTTTCGTCGTAACTCACGACAAATAATGGTTATTATGGTTGTTGTACACGGTTTCGACTAGAGGAATATGTCAGCTCAGGAATTGGTTGTGGTGGCGGATTCGGAAATCCGAAAGCAAAGTCATCTGAAAAACCATAAACAGGATGTCACATTAATAATAGTTCAATATCGACAGGAGTAGAATTTACCTCGGGTTGTCCGGCTTGTTCAGGTATTTTTCGATTGTGCTGAATGAGAGGTATCCGACATCAATTGAGATTGCGACATGGATCGGAGTGACCAAAGAGGATTATCGGTTCTGCCATGGTGCAGATGGACCAGCAGAACCTTGTAGTGGCACCATAAAATCAGTCGAAGAATAATGAACAAAGGTGGACGACATCGGGTTGGGTGTGGGCGAGCGAGCGCTCGGCTGTTGAGGAATGGAAGCGGGCTGTGGCAGTGAGTCTAAACCACTCAGAATGTCGATCACCAGGGGCATGACAAATCAACAACGCCCACCACCAAAAGTGACCAATGGGCGAGATGGATTGCCCGATTGGTTTCTTGTTCTCACCATGTTTCTTGATCGACTAAAGAAGAAAAGAAACAACAAGAGTGGAACGGCGTGTTCGACGTCAGTGGAACGGTGAGTACACGGTGATGCAAGGTTAACGACGGTGAGGTGAGGCGACGACTATGGTGGTGGTTTGGTTCTTGTTTTGTATTGTGAAAGAAGAGATGTGAAGGGAGATGTGAAGGTTTAACCAATGAAGAAAAGATAAAGGTGAGAGTTTTAAGTGATTCATGTGGGGTAGGGTAGGAGTTTAATTTGGTGCAGGGTTTTGGTGATTAGGTTATTTAATTTGAAAAGGGAAAATATAAGGAATTATAAGGGGAAGAGTTTATCAAATCAAACAGAAGAACCCATTTTGGAAATAAAGTTTTAGAAATTAAATCAACTTTTTTGAAACCAAATTAATGAAAGAAAAAAAAAAATATAAAATAATGTTTAAGAAACTATTTACCTCTAGGGAGAATGTCGACAAAGCTGTAATGGCTTCTTCAACTGGAACAGCTGCCATTATCAAAGATTTTTTTTTCTTCAAAATTTCCCAAAAATACGTTCAACTATTTAAGCTTATCTTGCCTATTTTATAACAACAACATTTTTTTAAGTAAATTCTTTAAATTTTAATAAGGCTGTAAATTTGGGAACGTTCGATCCCCAATAAGTCGGAATCAGGAAAGGGCGTCGAACAGTGAGTAGATGACTCGATCTTTGAACGTGCTAAATAGAGGTGGTAACTCTATGATTTATTTATTTTTTGTAAACTACTGGATTGATATATATATTTTTAATCATTAAATTTTAAAAAATATATTTTAATCACTAATGTTATTGATTTATTAAATTTTGATAATCCATATTACCGTAATTACATTTTGAACGCCCAGTTATTAATTTATTAGGTATTTTGAATATTTAATCTATTAGTTTGATAATGTGGCACGTTAACAAAATAGATTAATCTTTAATTTGATTTTTTATTTTTCAGTAAAATATTAATTTATTTTTTTACTTTAGATAAAGTATTATTTATAATTAACATCATAAATATAACAAAAAGTTATGCATTTGATTATGATATAGATTTAAATTTTGTGCCCCTATTTTAAAAGAATATTAATGATATATTTATTGTTATGTGCCCCTATTTTAAAAGAATATTAATGATATATTTATTATTATGTGTCCCTATTTTAAAAGAATATTAATGATATATTTTTTAAAGCAAACGAATTTCTTTTTTTTAAAGAATGTTTTTTTTACATTTTCTGAAAAAATGAATTTAATCTTAAGTATGAACTTTCTTAATGAATAATTAGGGTTATTAAATGAAGTCTTGAGTTGGTTAACATTATGATATAATATTTAAAATGAAAATGAAATCCATCATTTTATTTTAATATTATGTAATATAATATTTTTAAACTTGAGTTTAAATCCTTTTATTTACATCAATGTTATATTATTTTATTTTTAACACATTAATAATCCGTATTATATAAATATAATTTTTGATAAATTTATAAATGGTTGTGTTTCCTTTCTTCTTTTTTCTCTTATTTAAGTATTTGAAACAATTGTAGAGAGAGAGAGAGAGAGAGAGAGAGAGAGAGAGAGAGAGAGAGAGAGGTAGCTTAGAGGTCAAGCATTTCTGAAACCTTATTTCCACCAAGAAAAATCAAAGCAAAATATTAGGAACAGCTTGTTTGACTTCAAAGTTACCTGAGACCACGATTTCAATATTTGCTTGGTGTCAAATTTAGTCTGGGAATATACATATATCAACAGAATATGAAAAAACAAAAGGTTTTTTATCTTCAATAAAGTTCGAGTTTCAAAAATAAAATTCGTCTACGCTCGAACCAAGTTTCAAGTTGAGTCGAAGTTATTTGAGCCTCGATCGATTCAGTTACACCTATTGAACACTATCCTCTATTAATATAAGAAAAATTCAGCAAAAAATGAACATATTCGTATCCTACATACATCCATATCCATCACAAACCCAACTCTGGTTAACATAAATCTCTACTATACAAGAAGAAGATAGGATTATACACCTGCTATAATGATGGTGATGAAGATGATGTTGATGATGCATCGTTCCCAGAAGTGTCGTTCGTTTGTCTGGCAGAAATAACCCTGTCAAGGGTTTGATCAGGGACCGCAATTCCTGTAGTCTCAAGGTCTGCAACAATGGCAATGGCAGCGTCTAGTTCTCCGAGGTCAATACATAATGAAATTACTTCATCATAGGGGGGACTGTAACATAAGAAACAGAATTATATGGAGAGTTACTGATATTTGACATGGGTATTCAATTTTTTCTGAGATTTCCAAGTATCTGGAGAGCCCTTAGAGGACTCAAATCCATACCCGGTTATGCATCAGACAAAGGTGTTAAACATAAATCCTTTTAAAAAATTGATGTATACTTCAAACCAGCATCTTAATTTATGAGATAGAGGAACATGACATACCTCCCAAAGACATAACCAATACTGTGTGTCTTCTGCAAGATCTTCTAGAAGGCCGAAGGCATAGGAGCCTTAATGGCTGCTTGCAGTATCATAGCGCAATCCCCAATCGTGGGTGTTCCACCCAATTCAATAACCTGAATAAAAAGTTAAGAAATTTCATCAGTTAATGTGATAAACAAATGCCAAAACTCGAGGGAAATGAAAATGATCCTTTGTTGCTCTGACTAATCTGACACTTATGTCCAACACATATTCAAACATGGGATTTGAGATCTAACCCTCTTAAGGGATCCTCCAAATACATGGAAAACTTGGGAAAAAGAAACTGAAGATACCCGTGTTGGACACATAAATATCAATTAAATTTGAGTAACATGGAAATGATCCAGCTTGGGTAAAAAACGAAGCATATCAATGCAATTGCAAGAGCTACCTGATCTAGAAAGCAATAACATTAAGCATAGAAGAAGTTTATAATGTGATAGAATATCCCACCAAACTAATAATTTTGGATTACAAAATAGATATGGAGATGAAAAGTGAATACGAACGAAGAAAATATAAGATGTAAGATATCACTATTGAATACATAAGCAGAAAATAAGAACATGCCTTTTTCATTACTTGAATTGCCAACTCAACTTCCCATTCCTGTGACCACCGTCGAGGAGGTTTATTTTAAAGTTGTCACTCCCATGTCCAACCCCAAACATCTGCTATAGTGTACATGTCTTCAACATCAAACACCTTTCTATTTCTCAACTCTTGAAATGCTTCAAAAATATCCTCAGGAAACCAATCTTCATCATCAATGTCCCAAGTTCTAAATAAAAACGGATTTTGACCGAAAACCTCTTGAGTTTATGTGATAGGAATGAAATGGACTTTTGAAATATACAGAATCTCGGGCACTTCTATGAGCTGTAATATATCAAACGGTATCTTTATTACCTCAACAGATACTCGAGAAGACCTTCGTCTTGATTTTTTGGATCTAGTAGTTATTTGGTCAGAGTCCTTCAACAATTGAACCCCAATCATTTGGAGAGGCTTTTTAGCTTCAACTTTCTTATCCTTAATCCTTTCTACTTCTTGGCTTTCAGTTTGTTCTACTTCCTCCTCTTCTTCACCTTCACCTTCTCCTTCTCCTTCTCCTTCATCCTCTTCAATATCCTTCGCAGCATCTTCTACAACATCACTCTCATCCAGCTCATCTTCTGCAACTTCTGATTCACCCTCTTCTATCGGCTTCACCTGATCAACCTGAAAGCATTCTCCAAGAAACCGGCGTTTCCAGAACTCTGTATTTCCTTCTTCCAGCTTAATCCGAGATATTAGTTCATCTAATTCCTCATCATCCTGCAAGAGATGCATAACCAAACCAAAAATATATTCATAAATGTATTCATATGCAAACAGTATGGATAAAGAAGAAATATATTAATAAAATATAACCTCTTCTTTCTCCTCCTCCACAGGTGGAACCCAAAGAGGCCGACCATGTGAACGATTTATTCTCCATGCTTTTTGGACACGCTGGTAAAGAACATTTCTCGTTCCATCGACTGGTAGACCTTGTGCTTCAAGTTCTTCCTTTAGTTCAGATACAACCATCTTACTCGCAGCCTTGGGTTTTAAAACATTCTGGTCAGGACCTTTTATTATTTTCTTCAACCTCTCAACAACTCTTATATAATCAGATTTCGATGTATCACCCAAGGCTGCAAGTCCTTCATTCTGCAAGGTTTTCAAAAGCTTCCGATTGTGCATCTTCCACTCCTCTAGACATCTTTGCTTGAAGGAGGTTTCCAAAGGGTTTGAATATAAAAATCCAGCAGCATCCGGATCTAGAGGTGTTTTTCCTCTTCGAGGCACCCATCGCTTGCGTTCAACTGTAAGTCCACCCTCCTCAATGTACCTGGATTTTAAAGATAGTAAATTGCTTAGAAATCAAATCAATACCATCAAAAGCACAGCTTGGGATGATATCATTATTAATGATTGGAGGACTATGAATAAAGTACGAGAACCAGAATCGACTGTTGATCAAAAGGCACACCTCGCAATGTAAGCGATCTCATAACCAAGTTCAGCTTCCTCTTGTAGAGGTTCAATCCAAGAGCTAACTAGTGTTCGATATTTTCTGCTTAGAATCATAGCTCTTGGTGGAATAGGTTGGTTATCTTTGGACATAGCTTCTAGAGCTTCTAGCAATTCAACAATTCTTCCTGATCCAATCATGAGTACACGATAATTAAATTAAATCTAAACCCAAGAGAAATAATGATTATACAGAACAAATTTCAAGATACCTTCTCGACATAATGCTCGAAGATACAAAGAAAGTGGATCGCCAAAGTTTCCTTCATTATGCAACACTATTGTTCCCCCTTCATAGTTCTTTAGTGCACGAAAATGACGAATAGCTTCCCTTACAACAAAGTACTTGGTAAAACACTCCACTAACAGCCTGACATATGGAGAATGACAATCAGTCATCACTAAAAAAAACAAATAGCAGGAACAAAAAAGGAGGCAGCACACTATGACAGTTGCCAATTGATGAAGATGTAAAAGCATACACACATAGCATTCAGGTACACATATCATTAGTTAATTTTAACAGACAAATCATGTTAAAATTAGAGTAATTCTCTAATTCTCAATTATATATTTGCTGTAGAAGGGTTACAGTTATATATACAAGCTATAATTTTAACTTTAAGAAACTCTTAAGCTAGGAAAGTAATTAATCCTAGGAAAAGATATAATCCCTTAAAGTTGGGATTATAACTACTAAAAGATATTCACCGAATCTTATCTAACTACACATAATCTTTCTAATTTAGGAATCTATTTTCTGACACTCCCCCTCAAGCTGGGGAACGGATATCCTCTATCCTCAGCTTGCTAGCTAGCTTCTAAAAATACTTTCCAAGTAGCTCTTTGGTAAGTATATATGCAACTTGATCTCCAGTGGACACATAGGGAGTACAAATTAGGCCACTATCAAATTACTCCTTTATGAAATGTCTATCTACTTCAAGATGTTTTGTCCTGTCATGTTGAACTGGATTATGAGCAATGTTGATTGCTGATTTATTATTACAGTACAACTTCATTGGACCGTCCCATTTGATTTTCAAATTTTCCAAAATAATCTTCAACCACAATAATTCACAAATCCCAAGTGTCATCGCCCTAAATTCAGCTTCTACACTGGACCTGGCCACAACATTCTGCTTTTTGCTCCTCCAAGTTTCTAGGTTTCCTCCTAGAAAGGTACAGTACCATGAGGTTGATCTTCTATCAACTATGGACCTTGCATAGTTTACATCTGTATACACTTCCAAAGTCAAACTACCTCCCTTTTTAAATAAAATTCCTCTGCCTGGTATGCCCTTCAAATATTATAAAATTTGAGTCACGACCCGTGTGATTTTTTAGGATTATGCATGAATTGACTCACAACTCCAACTGCATAGGCAATGTATTGTCTGGTGTGTGACAATTAAATGAGTCTTCCCACAAGCCTTTTATATGAGCTTCTATCAACTGCTACATCTTCTGTTAAATCTCCAAGCTTGTGATTGACTTCTATTGGTGTTTCTGCTGGTCTGCACCCCAATTTTCCAGTTTTTGTCAACAAGTCTAGAGTGTATTTTTGTTGAGATATGAAAATTCCTTGTTGTGAATGTGCCACTTCAATACCAAGGAAGTATTTTAGTTGTCCAAGTTCCTTGACTTCATACTCTTTCACTAAACACTTCTTTAGATCATCAATTCCTTCTAAATCATCCCCGTAACTATGATATCATCTACATAAACCAATAAAGCAATTACTCCCCCTGAAGGCGAATGTTTCACAAACAAAGTACGATCACCATGACTCTGTCTATAGCCTAGCCTTAGCATCACTTTGGAAAATCTCCCAAACCAGGCTCTTGGGGACTGCTTTAGCTCATATAAAGCCTTTTTTAACCTGCAGACTGTCTGCCCAGTGCTTGGACCAAATCCTGGAGGGATGTTTATGTATACTTCCTCCTCAAGATCCCTGTAGACATCATTTTTTCATTTAAATTTATTATTATTATTAAAATTATTATTATTATTAGTAGTATTATTATAATTATTATTATTATTATTATTATTAATATTATATATTATTATTATTTAATAAATAATTACAAAACTGGACCGGCCCAGTTACAAACAAACCAGAACCAGCCCAGACCAACCAGAAACCCTAAACATTTGGGGTTTCAGCTAGGGTTTCTAAACCCTAGCCCCTCCAGCCGCCTCTGATGCTTCCAGAAGCCCAGCCGCCGCCTCTGCCGACACTCCCACTGCCAGGTGACCCAACCATATGCTGCCGACGATCCCCTGCTACCACGACTCCCATGAAGAAGTCTCCAGAACGCCACGAAGCTACCCACAGCGAGCCCTATGGTGAGTCACCGCAATAGCTATGGTGACTCACCAGAAGTCCCCACTGGAACCGGTCCGACGAGAGCCTCAGTGGTGGCTATAAAAGCCACCACACCTGCAAGAAAGAGGAGAACGGCAGAGAACGACAAAAAAAAAACAGAACGAAAAAAAAACAGAGAGGAAAGAACCGAACAGAGACGAACCCACAACCAACATAAAACCAAAACAGAAAACGAAGAAAGAAGAAAGAAACTTACCCTTGGAGCCTTGACCACCGTCGGAAGCACTAAACATCGCCGGAGAACAGAAAATACCAAAGGTATTTTCGTAGATTTACTCCGATTAGGAGTCTTTTAGGGAAAACAAAGACCGTAATCGGTCTTAGGGCGTTTAGATCTACGCTTTGGGGGTGTTTTTGGTGAATTCCGACCACCGTTACGGTGGCCGGCGGCGGTGGCCGGCGGCGGAGTACGGTGGCCTATGGCTGCCGGTTTCCCTCCGGCGATGGAAACTAGAGAAAAACCAGAGAGAACTCTGGTTCTCTCGTTTTGAGAGAGAAAGGAAAGAGGCAAATGAGAAGCTTGGCCCTTCGGGCCAGGCGTTTAGGGTATTTAAAACCCTCCCCAAACGACGTCGTTCTGGGGAGGGTATCTGTGTAATTTAAGAAAGGGTAAACCCTTTCCGTAACCCTTATAGTTTTATAACTTTGCAATTTAGTCACTGAAATTGACTTTTAATCATTTTAATTTAGTGTTTAAATTTTAATTTATTATATTTTAACCATTAACTGTATTTATATATATTTAGGAAAATATCAAATTTAGTCCCTCATAGTTTATTAATTATTATTTTAATCACGTATTAATTAATTAGGTTAAATTACACTATTAATCATTATCTTTCATAATATTTCGAATTATTATCTTTATTTTTAATACTTTATATTTAGTTTTATAATTTTTGAATTTCTTTTATTTTGATCATTATTTAATTACAATATTATTTTGTTATTACTTTTATATTTTAATTATTGCTTTAATTATTATTATTATCTTAGTCATATAAATATATATATATATATATTTTAAATAATAATGTTTATTTATTTTCGATATCAAAGAAAAGAGCAGTCCTAATATAACTGAATGTCCTATTCTGGTATTTTAAATAATTAAATATTATAAAAATTATAATTTAGTTTTATTTAAAATATTAAAATTTTAATATATTTTTATTTATTAATATCAAAGAAGAGAGCTGTCTTAAGATACCTAGAAGCCATTTTCTGATATTTTTGAATAAATAAATATCTTACTATATTAAAATAAATTTTTGTCATAAAAAATGTTTGTCATTTATTTATTTTTTAATATTGAAGAAAAGAGCTGTCTTAAGGCACCTAGAAGTTCTTTTCCGATATTTTTAAATATTTTTTAATTTTGAAATAATATAAATTTAAATTAAATATATTTTTAATTTTTTTTAATTTTTAATAATAGAGACAATTTATAATTAAAAAGTACCAATTTTGGGCGTTGTAGGGGTGCTAATCCTTCCCTAAACGTAACCGACAACGAATCCCTTTTTATTATTAAAAAGACAAATTTTTGGTTAAAACGCATATCAGTTTATCTTTTAATTGATGTTTTCTTAAAAACTCTTTTAAAAGATATTTTTTTAGGTATTCGACCTACCTGACCCAAAAGGCCGATGGCGACTCCTAAATTATTTTAAAAACCATTTATTCACATTACTTTTCCCGCCAAGTATAATATTTCGTGCCCGGACGAAAACCGGTTACGACAGCTTGGCGACTCCGCTGGGGACCGTCAAACTTTAAAATCAATTATAAATTGTCTCTATTAATTAGAAATTAAAAATTCATTTATTTAATTTTTAATTCTTTTCTTTCAAATTTTTATTTTTATATTAATATTTTTTATTTATTCAGGTATTAATTATTTTATTTATCTGTTATAGGTTTGAATATTTCTCCTCACACACAACATTGCATAACATAAAGCTCTATAATTGAGATTTGTCCCTTTTAAGTGGGAGTGAAAGCGACGTCTTCGTGAGAATTTATTCTCCGTGTCAGACCTAGCAAGTAACTTTCGGGGTTCATATGCTCTATGTCTTCGTGAGAATTTATTCTCCGTGTCAGGTATAGAGAAATGTATTCCCTCGAATTGAACTCGATCCGTTTAAGTCTGTAATGGACTAGGATTGAGGGTTGACAGCCCAAGGGAGCATCAACTAGGACAATTCGAGTACCTTTACTCCTAGAATTGAAACTCTGCATATAATAAACCTTAGAACTTCTCCTAATCTAAGACAGTACTGAACCTCTGTTCATAGGTGTACACAAAGGAGAAATAAGCTATAGCTTTTAATTTATTTAATTTATTATTATTTTTTTTCTCTCCCTGAATAAATACATGCGAACTAGAAATCATGCAGTTAGGTTAATTTTTCCAAATAAAGCATGGAATTAGAAAGCATGAGGTTAGGATTTATTATATACCATGATAAATAAATTTTTTCTTTCAATTAGTTGGTTAACCATTTTATTTTTTCTTATTTTCATATGCATGTTATTTTTGTTCTAATTTGTTTATATTGTTTTCTTTTGTTTGCATTGCATGATCATGAACAAAAGGTGTTAACTGAAAAGACTGTTCATCAAATTAGAAAGAAATCATAAATGGACAAAAAGTTCTATGATCAAACAAAATATGATGCGGCCAAGAAAAGACATCCTCAAGGAACTCCAAGGATAGAGGAGAGCTATGCACCCAAAGATTGTATGCCCATTAAAGATCAAAAGGAGATACGTGAGATAAGAGAGCAGATGTCCAAGATGATGGAAAGAATATCTGTTTTGGCCAAAAGAGAAGAGATTCCTGCACAGAAAGAGAGAAAGCTTAATAAAGATAATCCTGCAATTTCAGATATGCAAGGGAATTCTGATCCTAACCAACTTGAGAAATTACAGACAGTCATCATTCGTATTCACAAATCGTCTGGAAATACCAAAGAAATGGTGACCACTGTAAAAGGTCCCAGAGAAG